TATCATCTATCATCTATCTATCTATCTATCTATCTATCTATCTATCCATCCATCCATCCATCCATCCATCCATCCATCTATCCATCTATCTATCTATCTATCATCTATCACTTATCATCTATCATCTATCTATCATCTATCTTTCTATCTATGTTTCTATCTTCTATCTATCTTCTATCTTTCTATCTTCTATCTATCATCTATCTTCTATCTTTCTATCTTTATTTCTATCTATCTTCTATCTATCTATCTTCTATCTATCTATCTTCTATCTATCTATCTTCTATCTATCTATCTTCTATTATCCTATCTTCTATCATCCTATCTTCTATCATGCTATCTTCTATCTCCTATCTCCTATCTCCTATCTTCTATCTCCTATCTTCTATCTCCTATCTTCTATCTTGTATCTCTTATCTTCTATCTCCTATCTTCTATCTCCTCTCATCTCTCATCTGTCATCTCTCATCATCTCTCATCATCTCTCATCCATCCATCCATCCATCCATCCATCATTTATCATCTATCTATCATCTATCTACCTTTCTATCTACCTTTCTATCTATCTTTCTATCTATCATCTATCTATCATCTATCTTCTATCTTTCTATCTGTCTTTCTATGTATCTATCTTCTATCTATCTATCTATCTATCTATCTATCTATCTATCTAGGATATTAGCCACCTTTCTACCCCATTTCTTGTCTGTCTGTGGTGTCTTTGCTGTCCCTGATATTATCATCTATCTATCTAATCTATCTATCTATCTATCTATCTATCTAGTATATTAGCCACCTTTCTACCCCATTTCTTGTCTGTCTGTGGTGTCTTTGCTGTCCCTGCTTGCTCTCGAGGAGGAAACCACAGAAAGACAGAAGCAGAAAATGATGGCACGAGGAAGCTCAGAGGGAAACGACAACAACAGTGCTGCAGCTGGTCCGAGGGAGGCCCTTGTGGTGCACTGCAAGGAAAGCTCAAAGGGTCAGTAGCTCCCCCTTGGCACCTGAGCCCGAGGAGACCACTGGCCAGAGCTGCCCAACTCCGGGCTCCCCGTCTCCCCCAGGGCCAGTCTGGAGGCAGGCAGTATAAATCTCTCTGCCCCGGCAGGTCCCCGGCAGGGGCTCTGCCCTCTCCCGACTGTGGTGTCCTCGATCTTCTCCTCTCTTGCTACGGAGATCTGCTGGAGCTAGAAGCAGGTGAGTGCCTTGTCAGCCTTCCAAAGACAAACTGCACACCGCAGAAGCGGATCTTGCAGTGGTACAGTCTGAGGAAACTCGCTGGAGCGTGGGGAAGAGCAAGCCAAAGAAAGGGACATGCCCAGAGACAATCCAGCAACTGCAGCTTTTCTTGGCACCCTCTGGGCCAGTGTCTGTGTCTGATTGTGGCTGTTTTGGAAGAGGGAGCCCAGGAAAGGGCATTTGCCAGGCAAGTGAAGATTCATACAATCACAGAATGTGAGCGTTGGAAGGGACCTTGCAAGTCATCTAGTCCAACCCCCCCTGCACTCTGCAGGAGCGTCCATTCTGCTTTCAGAACAGCCAAGCGGCTTCTGGCCCCTGAAGAAAGCACGGCGGCATACATTCAGGTGGGCAGCCAGGTCGGTCGGAAGCAGCGGAACAATGTTTGAGTCCAGCCAGGCACCTTTAAGACCAACCAAGTTTAATTTACGGCATAAGCTTTCGTGTGCACACACACACTTCTTTGGAATTAAACATCATCGGTCTTAAAGGTGCTGTTTGGTGTAGTGCTTAAGTGTGCGGACTCTAATCTGGGAGAACCGGGTTTGATTCCCCACTCCTCCACTTGCACCTGCTGATGTGACCTTGGGTCAGTCACAAGCTCTGGCACAGCTGTCCTTGAAAAAGAGCCGTTTGCGTCAGAGCTCTCTCAGCCCCACCCACCTCCCAGGGTGTCTGTTGTGGGGAGGGGAAGGGAAAAGGAGTTTGTCAGCCGCTCTGAGACCCCAAGTGAAGGGCGGGGTATAAATCCAATCTCTTCTTCTTCTTCTTGCTGCACAAGAGAGTTTCAGAGGGGAGCCCGTGTTGGTTTGCAGTCGACCCAGATGTGTCAGTCTGTTAGTCTGTCTGGAGCAGCAGAAAAGAGCCAGAGTCCGGGAGCACCTTCAAGATGAACAAAATTTGTGGCAGGGGAGGAGCTTTTGTGAGTCACTGCAGTCACTTCCTCAGATACTGCTAGCATGTGAGTCCACCTGTCCCTCTGTCACAAGGCTGATGGATTCCCTTTCTGTATGGCTAGATGTGGTGCCTTCCTTGGACATAGCTCAAGATGGGGAGGTGTGTTAGTCTGTCTGTAGCAGGACAAAAAGAGCAAGAGTCCAGGAGCCCCTTCGAGACCAACAACATTTGGGGCAGGGGAGGAGTTGTCCTTGAGTCACGGCTCACGTCTTCAGATACCAAACTATCTGCCATAGATTTTGTCGGTCTTGAAGGCGCTGCTTGGATTCTGGCTCTTTTCTCCTGCTGCAGCAGGAGAGTTTGACTCAAGTCCAGGACCACCTTACAGACCAACATGATTTTTTTGGGGGGGGAATGAGCTTTTCAGAGCTCCCTTTCTCAGAATAATTGGGGATGCCAGCCTCCAGGTAGGACCTGGGGCTCCCCCGGAATCACAGCTCATCCCCAGACTACAGGGATCAGTTCCCTTGGAGGAAAGAAGGACAAAATCTTATCATAGTGGTTCACTCCAAAGACCAAAGAAGACAAGAGACCATTTCCGTAGTAGGGAAATTTCCCACACTGACAATTTTTTAAACGCAGAGTAAGAAGTTCGAGACCCGAGTGTGCCGCATGACGGAGTCAGCTCCCGTCTCTAGTTCCAGCTCCTGCCAACCTAGCCGTTCGAAAGCAAGAAATCGCAAGTAGATAAATAGGGACCACTTCGGTGGGAAGGGAACAGCGTTCCGTGCGCCTTGGTGTTGAGTCATGCCGGCCACATGACCACGGAAACGTCTTCGGACAGCGCTGGCTCTTCAGCTTTGAAACGGAGATGAGCACCGTAACCCTAGAGTCGGACTCGACTGGCTTTCGAGCAAGGGAACCTTTACCTTTAAGATGGAGGAAACTTTGGGTTTGCACTTGGTGAGGGAAAAAATCTTACTGCGGACAATTTCACATAATGCACAGTTTTAAAAACATCCATGTGGGGAGTTTCACCACTGCGGAAATGGTCAGAGAGCCAAGATGAAGAGCTGTCCCTTGTGTTTCTTTGTTTTTTCCAGTTCAAAGCAACCAAACTCCCTCTTCCCCAGAGCCACAGCCCCAATTTTGCCACCACACACACACACACAAACACACACACACACACACAAAAACACACACACACACAACTGTGAGTGATCCAGCTCACCTCCCTCCCTCTTCAGGTATCGCTTAGCCGTAAAGGAACGATATCCCGAACTGACATTTGCAGTGACCTGGCCTTTGTCAAAGCCTCACATCCACAACGGGGAAGGCTGTGCAAAAGTGGGTTTAAGAGCACCTAAACATTTCGCAACAGCATTTGATGCAAGGAAACACACATCTCCATGGGAAATATCTATTTGTTCTCACCTTAAAGGAGGTTTTTCTTGCCCTGTTCTTTCCCTCCAAGCTCCTTCAGTACGCATTCTTGGCGGAAGAAAACAACACAGATGTCTCGGGATGCCGGAAGCCAATCGCAGTTCCTCCCCTCCTGACACCTACGTCCTGGCTGGCATTCCCGGGATGGAGGCTTCCCACATCTGGATCTCCATCCCCTTCTGCCTGATGTACGCGGTGGCGCTCCTGGGGAACGGCTGCTTGCTGTTTGTCATCTTGACCGAGCGCAGCCTCCACCAGCCCATGCACCTCTTCCTTTCCATGCTGGCCACGGCCGACTTGCTGCTCTCGACCACCACGGTGCCAAAGATGCTGGCCATATTCTGGTTCCGGGCTGGGGAGATCTCCTTCGAGGGGTGTCTGGCCCAGATGTTCTTCATCCACGTCATCTTCATCGCTGAGTCGGCCATCCTAATGGCCATGGCCTTTGACCGGTACATTGCCATCTGTGACCCACTGCGCTACACCACTGTGCTCACCGGCTCCGTCATTCGGAAAATTGGGTTGGCGGCCATCGCCAGGAGCTTCTGCATCATTTTCCCCGTCATCTTCCTCGTCAAGCGGTTGACCTTTTGCCAGCGGAATGTCCTCCCCCATACCTACTGTGAGCACATGGGCATTGCCCGTTTGGCTTGCTCTGACATCACCGTCAACATCTGGTATGGCTTCATGGTGGCCCTTCTGGCCATCGGCCTAGATGCATTGCTGATCGCTACATCCTATGCATTGATCCTCAGAGCTGTCTTCCGGCTCCCTTCCAAGGATGCGAGGCGCAAGGCGCTCGGCACCTGCGGGTCCCACCTCTGTGTCATCCTGATGTTCTACACCCCTGCATTCTTCTCGTTCTTTGCCCACCGCTTTGGCCACAACATCCCAGGTTACATTCACATCCTTCTGGCCAACTTGTACGTGCTTGTCCCACCCATGCTGAATCCCATCGTTTATGGGGTGAAAACCAAAGAGATTCTGAGAACGGCGACCAGAAAGCTCCACCAACATTTTAGCAAGTCACTCATCTAAATGGCTGGTGCCTGGCAAAGGAGGGATCCCCAAAAGTGGATGTTCTAGGGTGAGAGGGAGAGCCCTGGAAGATGTCCTTCCATTGGACTTGGGTGTCTACAGGTTTGGTATGCCAACAGGGTCCAAAGCCACCCTCTAGGGAAATCTTGCTGTGCCCAAGTGGACGAAATGTTTATGGACATGAAGGGGTGGCTGGACAGTCCACTCCTTTTAAGTAGATTGGGATCAACTGTTGCTCCCCTGTTAACATTTCCCTTGTGCCAACGATGCGCTGGGTGCTGTACAGGATGGAGGAGTCCAGCGAAGGACAGAGAAGAAGGGGGTTGTGAGGGTTGAGGAATAAACTGCGAGGGCTGGGTAGAGAAGAGCCAGGCCCCAGAACCAGAAGGTTGGCCCAGAACCAAAGGGTTGAAATAAAATCAGAAGAGTTTTCGGCTAAATGTTAGGAAGAACTTCCTGACAGGGCGGTTCGTCAGTGGAACAGGCTTCCTTGGGAGGAGGTGGGCTCTCCTTCTTGGGAGGTTTTCATAGAATCATAGAATGTTTGAGTTGGAAGGGACCTTGCAGGTCATCTAGTCCAACCCCCTGCACTTCCTGACAGGGCGGTTCCTCAGTGGAACAGGCTTCCTTGGGAGGAGGTGGGCTCTCCTTCTTGGGAGGTTTTCATAGAATCATAGAATGTTTGAGTTGGAAGGGACCTTGCAGGTCATCTAGTTCAACCCCCTGCACTCTGCAGGAGAGTAGCCGAAAGAGAGCCCTACATACCTACAACATACCCGAAAGATAGTCGTTCAGCCTCCGCTTGGAAATGTCCAGTGAAGGAGCCTCCACCACCTCCCGAGGCAGACTGTTCCACTGCTCAACCACTCTTACAGTTAGGCCGTTTCTCCTTATATTTAACCGGTAACGACTCCCTGGTCATTTCCACCCGTTCACTCTAGTCTTGCGATCCGGAGCAAGAGAGAATAGATCCGCTCCATCTTCTACATGACAGCCCTTCAGATACTTGAAGACGGCAATCATGTCCCCTCTAAGCCTTCTCTTTCCCAGGCTAAACAGACCCAACTCTTTCACCCTTTCCTTGTAAGACTTGGATTCCAGCCCTCTCACCATCCTGGTTGCCCTCTTCTGGAAACGTTCGAGCTTGTCAGCATCCTTCAAACAGAGGCTCAGTGGCCATCTGACAGCAATGCTGATTGTGTGAACTTAAGCAGATCACGTGAAGGAGAGGGTGAGAAGTGGCCTCTGAGCG